TCACCCTTCCTTGGTGGGAGACAGCCATCTTTTAGGAGTGAAGAAGAGCAGAATGTAAGTGTGGGGGAGGAACGTGAGGCATTACGTAGAATGAAAGGGGGTAAAGTAGCTGGAACTCATGGGATCATGACAGAAATGTTAAAAGCAGGGGGGGATATAGTGTTGGAGTGGTTGGTACTTTTGTTTAATAAATGTATGAAAGAGGGGAAGGTACCTAGGGATTGGCAGAGAGCATGTATAGTCCCTTTATATAAAGGGAAAGAGGACAAAAGAGATTGTAAAAATTGTAGAGGAATAAGTTTACTGAGTATACCAGGAAAAGTTTACGGTAGGGTTATAATTGAAAGAATTAGAGGTAAGACAGAATGTAGGATTGCGGATGAGCAAGGAGGTTTCAGAGTGGGTAGGAGAGGTGTAGATCAAGTGTTTACATTGAAGCATATATGTGAACAGCATTTAGATAAAGGTAGGGAAGTTTTTATTGCATTTATGGATTTAGAAAAGGCATATGATAGAGTGGATAGAGGAGCAATGTGGCAGAAGTTGCAAGTATATGGAATAGGTGGTAAGTTATTAAATGCTGTAAAGAGTTTTTATGAGGATAGTGAGGCTCAGGTTAGAGTGTGTAGAAGAGAGGGAGACTACTTCCCGGTAAAAGTAGGTCTTAGACAGGGATATGTAATGTCACCATGGTTGTTTAATATATTTATAGATGGGGTTGTAAAGGAAGTAAATGCTAGGGTGTTCAGGAGAGGGGTGGGATTAAATTTTGGGGAATCAAATTCAAAATGGGAATTGACACAGTTACTTTTTGCTGATGATACTGTGCTTATGGGAGATTCTAAAGAAAAATTGCAAAGGTGTCATGCCCCTATGGCTAACCTTTCTTTAATATTACATTGCGGTTATTACCTTTAATAGCTAAATTGGAAATGAACATCCTTGTATTATTAAGGCTAATTCTTATTAACAATTATTATAATTTATGTAACATGGCCATGATAAGTTTAATTGGAGGTATAGTAACATGCCTGCCGCCCGGTGTGCCGGTGTATGGTTAGCCGTGATGTTCGATGGTTATACCTCCCCTTTCCCCCCCCTTTATGTTCAACTACTCTACTGAGTGTTGGTGAGTCACGTCACGTGACCCACTTGACCTGTATGCTCAAGGTTGAGGGACAAGCAGTGAAGAAGTAGCAGCCAACGCGAACACTTCTGCTCGTCTCTGGTAACTGGCCAAGGTTCATTATCCGGCCTGGACATTTTTTTTTTTTTTTTTCAACAAGTCGGTCGTCTCCCACCGAGGCAGGGTGACCCAAAAAAGAAAGAAAATCCCCAAAAAGAAAATACTTTCATCATCGTTCAACACTTTCACCACACGCACACATTATCACTGCTTTTGCAGAGGTGCTCAAAATACAACAGTTTAGAAGCATATACATATAAAGATACACAACATATCCCTCCAAACTGCCAATATCCCAAACCCCTCCTTTAAAGTGCAGGCATTGTACTTCCCATTTCCAGGACTCAAGTCCGACTATATGAAAATAACCGGTTTCCCTGAATCCCTTCACTAAATATTACCCTGCTCACACTCCAACAGATCGTCGGGTTCCAAGTATCATTCGTCTCCATTCACTCCTATTTAACACGCTCATGCACGCTTGCTGGAAGTCCAAGCCCCTCGCCCACAAAACCTCCTTTACCCCCTCTTTCCAACCCTTTCGAGGACGACCCCTACCCCTCTTTCCTTCCCCTATAGACTTATATGCTTTCCATGTCATTCTACTTTGATCCATTCTCTCTAAATGACCAAACCACCTCAACAACCCCTCTTCTGCCCTCTGACTAATGCTTTTATTAACTCCACACCTTCTCCTAATTTCCACACTCCGAATTTTCTGCATAATATTTACACCACACATTGCCCTTAGACAGGACATCTCCACTGCCTCCAACCGTCTCCTCGCTGCTGCATTTACCACCCAAGCTTCACATCCATATAAGAGTGTTGGTACTACTATACTTTCATACATTCCCTTCTTTGCCTCCATAGATAACGTTTTTTGACTCCACATATACCTCAACGCACCACTCACCTTTTTTCCCTCATCAATTCTATGATTAACCTCATCCTTCATAAATCCATCCACCGACACATCAACTCCCAAGTATCTGAAAACATTCACTTCTTCCATACTCCTCCTCCCCAATTTGATATCCAATTTTTCTTTATCTAAATCATTTGATACCCTCATCACCTTACTCTTTTCTATGTTCACTTTCAACTTTCTACCTTTACACACATTCTCAAACTCATCCACTAACCTTTGCAATTTTTCTTTAGAATCTCCCATAAGCACAGTATCATCTGCAAAAAGTAACTGTGTCAATTCCCATTTTGAATTTGATTCCCCATAATTTAATCCCACCCCTCTCCCGAACACCCTAGCATTTACTTCTTTTACAACCCCATCTATAAATATATTAAACAACCATGGTGACATTACACATCCCTGTCTAAGACCTACTTTTACCGGGAAGTATTCTCCCTCTCTTCTACACACCCTAACCTGAGCCTCACTATCCTCATAAAAGCTCTTTACAGCATTTAGTAACTTACCACCTATTCCATAAACTTGCAACATCTGCCACATTGCTCCTCTATCCACTCTATCATATGCCTTTTCTAAATCCATAAATGCAATAAAAACTTCCCTACCTTTATCCAAATACTGTTCACATATATGCTTCAATGTAAACACTTGATCTACACATCCCCTGCCCACTCTGAAGCCTCCTTGCTCATCCACAATTCTACATTCTGTCTTACCTCTAATTCTTTCAATTATAACTCTACCGTATACTTTTCCTGGTATACTCAGTAAACTTATTCCTCTATAATTTTTACAATCTCTTTTGTCCCCTTTCCCTTTATATAAAGGGGGCTATACATGCTCTCCGCCAATCCCTAGGTACCTTCCCCTCTTTCATACATTTATTAAACAAAAGTACCAACCACTCCAACACTATATCCCCCCCTGCTTTTAACATTTCTGTCATGATCCCATCAGTTCCAGCTGCTTTACCCCCTTTCATTCTACGTAATGCCTCACGTACCTCCACCACACTTACATTCTGCTCTTCTTCACTCCTAAAAGATGGTATACCTCCCTGGCCAGTGCATGAAATTACCGCCTCCCTTTCTTCCTCAACATTTAAAAGATCCTCAAAATATTCTCGCCATCTACCTAATACCTCCCTCTCCCCATCTACTAACTCCCCTACTCTATTTTTAATGGACAAATCCATACTTTCCCTAGGCTTTCTTAACTTGTTTAACTCACTCCAAAAATTTTTCTTATTTTCATTAAAATTTCTTGACAGTGCCTCTCCCACTCTTTCATCTGCTCTCCTTTTGCACTCTCTCACCACTCTCTTCACCTTTCTTTTACTCTCCATATACTCTGCTCTTCTTATAACACTTCTGCTTTGTAAAAACCTCTCGTAAGCTACCTTTTTCTCTTTTATCACACCCTTTACTTCATCATTCCACCAATCACTCCTCTTTCCTCCTGCCCCCACCCTCTGTTTTTTTTTTATTCTGACTGTTTCCAATTGGGAAATAAGACTTTATACATTAAAGTAATCTTTGTATATATATATGTTATATCTAGGATCTCCTCCTAATCATCTGTTATGAAAGCCTTATATATTTTGGACAATATAGAACAAACATGCATTCTTAACTTATATACGATAATTCGTATATTATTATTTCTGGCTTTTTGTTGTATCATGAATATACTTAATTAAAATTAGTCATTCTGGAGGATCACTATTATTACCCTAACCTCTCTGACCAAAGTTGTTATGCTCTAACCAGAAGGAAATAGTGGTTACAATACTTGGAGTGTAACAAAAGGTTAGTGGATGAGTTTGGGAATGTGTGTAAAGGTAGAAAGTTGAAAGTGAACATAGAAAAGAGTAAGGTGATGAGGGTATCAAATGATTTAGATAAAGAAAAATTGGATATCAAATTGGGGAGGAGGAGTATGGAAGAAGTGAATGTTTTCAGATACTTGGGAGTTGACGTGTCGGCAGATGGATTTATGAAGGATGAGGTTAATCATAGAATTGATGAGGGAAAAAAGGTGAGTGATGCGTTGAGGTATATGTGGAGTCAAAAAACGTTATCTATGGAGGCAAAGAAGGGAATGTATGAAAGTATAGTAGTGGGTGTGAAGCTTGGGTGGTAAATGCAGCAGCGAGGAGACGGTTGGAGGCAGTGGAGATGTCCTGTTTAAGGGCAATGTGTGGTGTAAATATTATGCAGAAAATTCGGAGTGTGGAAATTAGGAAAAGGTGTGGAGTTAATAAAAGTATTAGTCAGAGGGCAGAAGAGGGGTTGTTGAGGTGGTTTGGTCATTTAGAGAGAATGGATCAAAGTAGAATGACATGGAAAGCATATAAATCTATAGGGGAAGGAAGGCGGGGTAGGGGTCGTCCTCGAAAGGGTTGGAGAGAGGGGGTAAAGGAGGTTTTGTGGGCGAGGGGCTTGGACTTCCAGCAAGCGTGCACGAGCGTGTTAGATAGGAGTGAATGGAGACGAATGGTACTTGGGACCTGACGATCTGTTGGAGTGTGAGCAGGGTAATATTTAGTGAAGGGATTCATGGAAACCGGTTATTTTCATATAGTCGGACTTGAGTCCTGGAAATGGGAAGTACAATGCCTGCACTTTAAAGGAGGGGTTTGGGATATTGGCAGTTTGGAGGGATATGTTGTGTATCTTTATATGTATATGCTTCTAAACTGTTGTATTCTGAGCACCTCTGCAAAAACAGTGATAATGTGTGAGTGTGGTGAAAGTGTTGAATGATGATGAAAGTATTTTCTTTTTGGGGATTTTCTTTCTTTTTTTGGGTCACCCTGCCTGGGTGGGAGACGGCCGACTTGTTGAAAAAAAAGAAAAAAAAAAAAAAAAAAAAACTTACCTCTTAATAGTTGGGTGTTGGCGCTCGAGGATCTTGCCTGATTTTGCGTCAACTATATGAAACCAGACATCTGTGGCACTAGTGTCACTCTCTAGGCTTGTGTTACCAACAAACCGACGAGATTCTATCTTCTCGATACCAATGATTTGATCTAGGACAAAAGAAAGAGATATTTCTTATATATAAACAGGTAAAATAATTTTTATTATTAAATTACAAATTACACTGTACTGTACAATATTTATGCCATAACAGAGTAAATTGCAAACTCAAAAATGTTAACATTATATAAGGTTATACATTAACATTATATTATGTTAAATTTATATAATATAACATTTATATATGCCTACAAATGTGACCTTAGGACTATTATACAAATTTACACTGCTGTCTGTAAATCATTTGTAGATTTATTGAATAAAGTATCAGAGGTCACTCCAGCATGATAAAGTCTATGTACTAAGCACAACCTGTAGCTATTTTCTTCAACTAGTGCTGAAGAATGTGTAAGTCTGCTACAGGCAATAATAATAAGTACAGTAAGGCCTGCTTTACGGCGTTTCGCCTTACGGCATTCCACTAATATGCTGATTTCATATTATGACCAAAACTTGCTATATGGCTCCCGGCTTTTCTAATACGGCGTGCCTCACCCAGTTTGTTTACATTCTCCGTGAACACATCTCTATTATGTCTGGAATCTTTCCAAAATTTCAAGTGTTTTAAAGTTACTGCATATTTTATATGTACTCTGATAATTATACTTATGTGTACCTGTACCTAAATATACTTACACACTGTACTGGCATGCAGGTACACATTAAAATCAGAGTCTCTCTCTACTCTTGATGGGTGCATTAAATGTTGTATATTACATCAATATAGACATTTATATTAATCCATCTATGACATTTTTTCAAAATTATATAATAAACATGCTATGTAACATATAAACATGATAAATACACCCCAAGGTAGAATAAATTAACATAAATATGAGATGTGGTAGCCAGGCAAACATCAGAGCAAATGTGTACACTATAATATTACTGAGGGTAGGGGTAGGGGTCGTCCTCGAAAGGGTTGGAGAGAGGGGGTAAAGGAGGTTTTGTGGGTAAGGGGCTTGGACTTCCAGCAAGCGTGCGTGAGCGTGTTAGATAGGAGTGAATGGAGACGAATGGTACTTGGGACCTGACGATCTGTTGGAGTGTGAGCAGGGTAATATTTAGTGAAGGGATTCAGGGAAACCGGTTATTTTCATATAGTCGGACTTGAGTCCTGGAAATGGGAAGTACAATGCCTGCACTTTAACCCTTTGACTGTTTCCGACGTATAAATACGTCTTACGAGCCAATGTTTCTGACGTATTTATACGCATAAATTCTAGCAGCTTCAAATCAAGCAGGAGAAAGCTGGTAGGCCCACATGTGAGAGAATGGGTCTCCATGGTCAGTGTGCACCATATAAAAAAAATCGGGGAGCCAGTGGTGCATTGTGGGAATGCCATTTCAGTTGTCCTTTTTCAGCATGTCTAGCGGTAAGAAATATGTGATTCCCCAGCAAATCTGGGACTCTTCTCTTCCCAAGTGATGCTCTAACACAGATGGAAGTGTCAGTGAAGATCAATTTCATGATTTGGAGGAGTTTGAGACCAAAAGCAATGGAGGAGGAGGAGGGGGAGGAGGGGAGGAAGAGGAGGAGGAGGAGGAGGAGGGAAGGAAGAGGAGGAGGAGGAGGAGGAGGAGGGAAGGAAGAGGAGGAGGAGGAGGAGGAGGAGGAGGAGGAGGAGGAGGAGGAGGAGGAGGAGGAGGAGAAGAGGAGGAGGAGGAGGAGGAGGAAGAAGATGTAATAATATTGTTCCCTTGAAGCAAGAAAAAAAAAAGTCCACCCCATGACAGTGACAAGATAAGGGGAGATAACATCTGATAAGAGCTGACTTTGATGAGCATAAAGGAGGGTAATATTACATGACCATCGCCCTCCCTTTGTTTTTGCTGGTACACAAACATTTGTCTGTCTGTCAAGCTCCCTGTCTGTCCATCTAGCTCTCTGTCTTAGAGAGAGCCACAAGACTGTGTCATCACGTTTTACTCACATCTTCAAGCAGAGTATAGCACTTTGTCTGGATTTCTTGGGTTATCCTAGGTAATTTACACTATGTATACTTGTATTTATGTGTACCTGTGAGACAGAGATAGGCAGACAGATAGAAAGAGAGACAGATTGAAAGATATAGAATGAGGGAGAAAGATAATTAGATAGAATGGAGGAGGGGAAGCAGCATCCGACCCCATTGTTTTGACAGGCGGTAGGGGTAGTGACTAATGAGACAATATGTCACTTTGACAGCTGCCGACTTCTGACTCAAAACAATTATAAGCCACACACTCGACACAGGCAGGGGAGGAGGAGGAGGAGGAGGAGGAGGAGGAGGAGGAGGAGGAGGAGGAGGAGGAGGAGGAGGAGGAGGAGGAGGAGGAGGAGGAGGAGGAGGAGGAGGAGGAGGAGGAGGAGGAGGAGGAGGGAGGAGGAGGAGGAGGAGGAGGAGGGAGGAGGAGGAGGAGGAGGGAGGGGAGGAGGAGGAGGAGGAGGAGGAGTGAGGATGGAGAGAGTGAGGATGAGAGGAGGAGTGAGAGAGGAGAGAGGAGGAGAGAGGAGGAGTGATGATGTGATGATGGATGATGATGATGGATGAGATGGAGTGATGATGATGATGATGTGATGAGATGATGAGTGATGATGATGATGATGATGATGATGATGATGATGATGATGATGGATGATGATGATGATGTGAATGGGATGAGGTGATGAGGATGATGAGGATGATGATGGATGATGATGAGGATGGATGAGTGATGAGATGATGAGATGAGGATGAGGATGAGTGATGAGGATGATGATGATGATGATGATGATGATTGATGATTTGTTTGTTTGTTTGTTTGTGTTTTTGTAAACAAGTTTTGTAAACAATATATTGATAATTATGTTTGTGTGCTTATTGTGTTGTATACGAGTGTATATATATATTACATTGCACCTTACTTTGGTCTCATAGGCCACATATAAGTTATGTGAAAAAAATAAAATAGTGAAAAAAACAAAAACCTTCAATTACAAGTAAACTAAAAGTTTACCGGTGAGCGGCAGTCGCCGCTGTTGCCATACGCGGCTCATTTTCTGCAAACTTCACGGCTTATATCTCGGTAAGTACGATGGCAAAAATTTTTTTTTTTTGGACTAAAACACTCAGAAAATAATCTTAACATTTTATAAGAAAAAATTATTTTTTTTTTTTTTTGAAATTTGGCGACATAGAATGACAGTTTCAGAGAGGGGCCTGAAACAGTCAAAGGGTTAAAGGAGGGGTTTGGGATATTGGCAGTTTGGAGGGATATGTTGTGTATCTTTATATGTGTATGCTTCTAGACTGTTGTATTCTGAGCACCTCTGCAAAAACAGTGATAATGTGTGAGTGTGGTGAAAGTGTTGAATGATGATGAAAGTATTTTCTTTTTGGGGATTTTCTTTCTTTTTTGGGTCACCCTGCCTCGGTGGGAGACGGCCGACTTGTTGAAAAAAAAAAAAAAAAAAAAAAAAAAAAAAAAAAAAAAAAATTTATTCCTTTCATATGCCTTCACTCCAGTGGCATGCAAAAGGGAGAGGGGGGTGGTCCTAGGCATCCAAATTGGAAGGGGGTGAAGATTCAATTAGAGAGGGAAATAAGATAGTGATTTTGAAATTTCAGCAGTGATAAATCAATTTTTGGAGGCTCACCATACTACAGAGGCAGTGGTTAGCCCTTTATTCCTTTAACATGGTGTACCCTTTCTGTCCAGAGAAAATGGTGCCCCCAATTGAAGATGAACAAGAAAGAGAAATTCAAAAAGGAATGTTCAGACTTTGCAAATTATGATGATAAAGATACGGCAGCCATTCAGTTATGACGAAATTACTGATTTTGTGATGTTCCTTCGAGCAGGAGGGAACAGAATTCCCCTTGATCCTAAAGATGCTCTGGAGTCTTTACTGCAGTATGGGAGGGATCTCTGGATTATTGCTTACAATTGCATTTTCAGTCGGAAGTTGTGAAAGGTCATTTTCAAAACTGAAATAAATAAAAACATATCTGAGGTCTTGAATGTAACAGGAGCAACTGACCAACCTGGCTTCAATACAAACAAACAAAATTTACTTCTTTGCAAGATTACATTGAGATTATGAAATTACAATATTGAGTTGCAGTGCAAAGAGAGCCACTATCATGCCTAGGCATTATGGGCAGACTTAATTTAATGGCTTACAGACTACTTAATACTAAAGAAATTGATCATAGTGTGTTTAAGTTGTACATCTTTTTTTTATTTATAGTAGACAGTAATTTTACTCTAATTATAATAGCTCAATAGTATTGAAATTATATAATGGAAATATAACATTGTGAGTTGTTGACGTAGTTTACAGTATGAAAATGTTACAATTGGGTGTAAGGCAGTAGTGTTTTGGATAGGTATTTATATTACAATGTAGTATTAATAATGTATGAACTTTGGGGGTCTAGATTTGAATTTTTAAGATTTAGGTAATTGGGAGATTTTTAGTAAAGTTAAATATTGAGTACAGTGGACCCCCGCCTTACAATATTAATCCGATCCTGAGAGCTCATCGTAAGCCGAAATTATCGTAAGGCGAATTAATTTTCCTCATAAGAAATAATGGAAATCAAATTAATCCGTGCGAGACACCCTAAAATATGAAAAAAAAAAATTTTTACCACATGAAATATTAATTTTAATACACACAAACTGAAGAAGACATGCACAATTACTACTCTTCTAAGAATAGAATACATGACACTTACCTTTATTGAAGATCTGGTGATGATTGATGGGATGGGAGGAGGGGAGAGTGTCGAAGTTATTGTTTACAAGGGGAATCCCCTTCCATTAGGACTTGAGGTAGTAAGTCCTTTTCCGGGGTTACTTCCCTTCTTTTAATGCCACTAGGACCAGCTTGAGAGTTACTGGACCTCTGTTGCACAACAAATCTGTCCATAGAGGTCTGTACCTCCCATTCCTTTAAGATTTGCCTAAAATGGGCCACAACATTGTCATTGTAATAGTCACCAGCACGGCTTGCAATGGCTGTGTTACGGTGATTTTCATCCATAAAGGTTTGCACTTCAACCCACTTTGCACACATTTCCTTAATCTTTGAGGTAGGTACAATGGATTCCACAACTGGCATTGGCTTCTCAGAGTTAGCCCAAAACCCTTCAAAATCTTTCTTAATTTCCATACTAATTCTCACCCGTTCTACCACAGGGTTGGCACTAGAAGCTTTCTTGGGGCCCATGGTAACTTATTTTGCAGTTAAAAGCAAAAAAACACTGGGATAAGATGAAATGTACTGAATGTATGCGTGGATGCTACCGCACTGGCTGACTTGTAAACACTGGTGCTGAGGCCACACATGAGACGCATCCCGGACTAATCACGTAAGGCAAGTTTTTTATCGTGAGGCGAGGCAAAATTTTTGTGTTCAAATGCTTCGTATGGCGGATTTAATGTAACGCGATGCGTTTGTAAGGTGGGTGTCCACTGTATTTAGTTTAGGGTGAGTAGGTGGCTTTTGAGAAGAGCCTTAAATTGGTGTTCAGACCTGGTTACTTTAGTATTTACTGGTAATGAATTCAAAATTTTGGGGCCCTTTATGTGCATAGAGTTCTTACACAGTGAGATATGGACAAGGGGTACATCAAAAAGAGATCTGTGTCTTGTGTTGTGGTTGTGTATCCTCTTAAGGTTGGTGAGGAGAAGTTTGAGTGGAGGGTTTATGCTTGAGCAGTTTTAGACTTTTGAATATTGGTAGAGTATGCTGTCAGGAGTGGGAGTTTATCAACATTCTGACTGCAGCCTTTTGCTGGGTTATTAGTGGTCTTAGGTGATTTAATGCTGTTGATCCCCATGCACAAATTCCTTATATGAGATAAGGATAGATAAGTGAATGATACAGTGCAAGGAGAGCTGATTGTGGAACATAGTACCATATCTTTGATAGTATGCCTACTGTCAAAGATTTTCTTAGAAATTTGTTGTATGTGTCTGGAATTTGAGGCTACTGTTAAGGTGGATTCCTAGGAATTTTCCCTCTGAGTCTTGTGATGGGTGATCCGCTATATTAAGTGGAACATTTGCAGCTGTGTCCAAAATGAATGAAACAGGGTTTGTCAGTATTGAGGGTAAGCTTATTTGTCTTGATCCAGGTAGTTATTTTCTGCAATTCAGCATTATCAGTGTTAGCCAGTATGACTGGGTTTGGGTGAGAGAAGACGTATGTTGTGTCATCTGCATATAATATGGGTTTGAGTAGCTGTGATGCATTTGGTAGGTCATTGATGTAAATGAGAAAGGAGTGGGCCAAGGATACTTCCTTGTGAGACACCGACTGTGATTGGCTGAGTGGAAGAGTTTGCTCCATTTGTGTACACATATTGGCTTCTGTTACTAAGGTATGACTTTAGGTAGTTGAAGGAGTGCCCTCTTATACCATAGTGTGTTAACTTAATGTGCAGCAAATCATGGTCAACTGTATCAAAAGCTTTACGTAAGTCAATGAAGATTCACAGAGGGACTTCATTCTTCTCGAGAGTGGTGTATATTAGTTCTAGCATGTGTATAATAGCATCATTTGTGCTTTTATTAGTCCTGAATCCCAACTGACAGGTGTTTAGTATGTTGTGTGAGACAAGGTAGGAATAAGCACTGAAAAAAGAATTTCTCACAGCTGATGTAAAAAGTGAAGTAGTTCAAGTGTTTTCAGACAGGAGCAATCATTTGGGGAAAAGAACTTAAAAAATTTGGTTGATTTATATTTAAATCAAATATGTAAAGTGTTTATTTCATGTTTCATCTGTGTTTATAAATACAAAATATCTCCCTTTCTCATAATATTTCTCAGTACCAGACCTTATACTTGAGACTTTGGGGCATACAATCAAGGAGTTAGCCCTGGGCATCACCAGACCTCTGCATGCCACTGCTTCACTCAGAGCGTCATTTCTTCTAAAAATGGTGTAGCTCGATCACTAGCGCACTCAGCTCTACTCTGAGGTCTGAGGTTCGAATCTCCTCCAGTATGGCTGGAAAACATTAAGGATATGTTTCCGTAAGACACCTGCTGTCCCTGTTCACCATCAGTTTAAAATGGGTACCTGGGTGTTAGTCGACTGGTGCGAGTCGCATCCTCGGACAAAATTGACCTAATTTGCCCAAAATGCTCAGTACAACAAGGGACTTTCTATACAGTAGTATGTCACTGATGTCAGCTAGGTCTGTATACCATGTACATGTACTTGTAGTAAATAAAGATATTATTATTATTCTACTGTATCAACGTGGAGATGCCTTGTACACAATGTAAAGCGTTTGTATTATGGTACAATACAAACAAATGAAAACCAGACTTGTTTGCTTGGTTTATTTACATTACGTGTGGGTGGGGTGGGGTGGGCTGCCCTGGCTGGCTACCATACCTCCCAAACCTGACTTCTTACAAATAAAACTCACCTCTCACCCTACATTAAGATTACAAATATTTTTAAGGTAAGTAATGGGAGTACTGTGTGTGTATTTTACTTTTCATTGTTTTTAATGCCTAGTTCTATTGCTAACTTAATATATGTTAGTGTAAACATGTTATAAATGCATATAAATGCCATTCTGCTTTCCAGTGATGTCTGCTTTCCGGCAGTAGCCTAGAAACTAACCTGCCGTATAAGTGGGGCCCTACTGTACAGTCTTGTAGAAAGCCTGCAACCTTATCACCTGCCTGGAAATTTCCCATGTTAAAGCACAGAAAGGAGAGATGTGAACAGTGAAGATGAGAGTTATCAACCAGGAACCTGATACCTGGAAACGCCGTTGGAATGACTGATTTTTCAACTCAAATGCCATCTTCCACCAAGACAGGGTGCCCCAAAAATGAAAATACATTCACCAACATTCCCTCAATTGCCATCTTTCCAGAAGTGAGCTAGCATCACACTCAGATTTAGTCATAGACATGGGATAATAAGGAAGTACAGTATTTATTTCATGTGTTGTGCCTGTGTCTTCTCTTATAACTCTCAAAGCAAAACAAAAAATTATAAATACAGTGGACCCCCAGTTTACGATATTATTTCATTCCAGAAGTATGTTTAGGTGCCAGTACTGACCGAATTTGTTCCCATAAGGAATATTGTGAATTAGATTAGTCCATTTCAGACCCCCAAACATACACGTACAAACGCACTTACATAAATACACTTACATAATTGGTCGCATTGGGAGCTGTTCGTATACCGGGGGTCCACTGTACTATGTTAGCAGTATTATGCAAGGTCCTGTAGTTTTATGAAGATGTAAAGTGAGCAGCAGTATGTATGTATGTATGTTCATTATTTTTAATGTTCTGAAGAAACATGTATGTTGTCTAAAACTGGAATGTAACATGTTCGTGAACGACTTTTGTCACACGATGATTAATTTTAGGCACTTTGTTGTTGTTGTTTCTCATGTACAGAAAGATAAATAACGTATTACAAGAAATGAATATTCGACTGACTTGAGTATTCCTGCAAGACGGCCACTAAGTCATCACGACTGTTCTTCACCCGGTCAGGAGGCGCTTCAACAACAAGCACTAGACGATGATTCTCTTGAACCAAGTTCACCTGCACAAGTATGAATGATTTATATTATATTTTAAATACCCAGTTAAATATGACTTCCTATTTCTGTGTCCATATGAATATATACACATTAATTTCTCACTATGTACTCAGGTAAAACTTGAAGAATATGTATAAAGAGAGAATCCAGAGAGAAACAGATTTATCACATCAATGTGTCATTGCCTATTTGTGATTATTTATACCAGTAGTTATGGAGGAAGAGCTATGCTTGTGTGTCCCATATATAATTAGTGTTTAATTTGAAATTAAATTTTCTTAGAAAATTTTCAGAGGTTACATCTTGTTGTATTATATTACGTTGTTCTATCACACTATAAGTATTTTCTAATATTTCTTAAGTCATTTATGAAGTTAGAAACATATCAGGGCAAACCAAAGTTCCTGTGGATCCCACAGGTGCAATCCATCAGCCATTTCATTCTTCAATAATTTATTTTACTCTTGCCATAGATTTGATAAGAGGAATTTTCTGATAAAACTGTACTGTTTGCTGGTTAACAGTTTTTTGCTTTCCATGTTATCAAATTTTCTCAATAGTTTTTTTCCAGTAATTCTACAACAATGCTTGTCAGCAAGACACGGTTGTAAATAAGGAGATCCACCCTGTCATTTACTCACCTATATATGGTTGCAGGGGGTCAAGTCACAACTCCTGGCCCCAAAACAGTGAGTGCCTTCTGGGAGGATTGAACTCCCAGCTTCTAGTTTACTAGACCAGTGTGTATGTGTACATGTACATTTGCATGAGGTAGGAGATGTTCATATTTTAATAAAGATGGCACAGGACTTACAATAACAGAAACGGAGGTGGAGTGCGACACACCAGGCAATGTGGAGTGCAGCTCCTCAGAAATACCAGATGGGTTATCTTGAGCTACCACAGTCAAGTTGAAGGGTAGCAGCTCACGTGGTACAGAAGACATCTCACGCTCTGTCCTCAGGAGGCCTGAGGTGACCCCGATACTAAAGTATCCACCTCGGTTACTCTCTGGTACTAGACCATATTCTATGCGGCCAAATTCTCCAGAGTCTTCGTCCTTTGCCTGTAATGGAGTAAGAATTTTATATTCAAGGAGTCTTACAAGAACTACATCTCTGATATACTGTGTTAATTTCTCAACTTTTATAGCAACTTAAGGGATAATCAAGAGCAAAATATGGAACGTTTTACATGTAGAAGGCAAAGCTCTTAAAACATTCACTAAATATATGTAACTTCTTACTTAAGTACTATATAAGATCTGGGAATATAGTATGTACAGAAGTATCATAACAATATTAACAAATGATTAAAATTATAATCTTAATTTTTAGAGGGGTGAAGAGGTAAGCCAGTGGAAGGCCTCAGTGAGATGACCAAAAGCTCCAGTGGTGGGTCATCAAATGATTATGACCCACATCAAGAAACACTTGTCCTGTTTCCTGACAAATCTTACCTAAGCTAACCTAAGTATCGTAACATTTAACACAGACTGCCAAAACTGTTATTAGCTGTAATATACACTCAACTCAATTAAAACATGTGAAAGACATAATATTTATATACAACTTTTAGCTCATTTATCATCCACTTAATGACTAATCAATTAGGTACATCTACACTAAGCTGAAACTATTACTACCTTAAAAACTCATTCTTGAGGGATTTACACTGTTCCTTTCCTTGCACAATACTCAGTTAATCTGATGATCTCTTCCTTTTGTTCATTATTGGGTTATGGTCTTGCCACCTGTAGTTTTTATCCCAGTACACAATGACCAATGAAACTTGACCAGGATGAAGCTTGAACAAACTCTGCTGGAGGTTCATACTAGTTTTGGATTTTTTTTTTTTTTTTTTACAAATGCTGTACTGTTTGCCTAACCTTGCAATATTTATGTACTTTTTAAATAAATATAAATTATTATAATTGCTATTTTAATTCATTATTATTTTAGTTATTAATATGAATGAATATCTATAAACATCAGGAGCAAGGGGCTAGTAACCCCTTCTCCTGTATACATTGCTGAAGTTAAAAAGAGAAACTTTTTTTTTGTGCCACCCTGCCTCAGAGGGATATGGCCAGATTGTTGAAAGAAAGATCCTTAAACATTAAAAATACAAATGTATCATATTTCAACTACATTATTGACCATCATTAACAGCATCAAAAAAACAAGTCTGAAAACAACGTAACTAAACAAGTCTGAAAACAAAACAAATCTGAAAACAACATAAAAAGCAAAATTCTGAAAACAACATGACCAAAACAAAGCCTCATTGAAAGTCATAACACAGAATAAATATTTACAATTACAATATACTAACTGTGACTTGTAGAACTGATGTAGATATTTGTGAGTCCTCAGCCACAAAGGCAAAATAACTGCCATGTGTATAGTCACTGTATGGTGCCTTAAATATGTACTCTGGCTTATTGTCATTCACATCCATCACACTAATGTCAACCTGAAAAGTAAATCATGTGAACATTAATTTTTTTTCAACACATTGGCCAGTTCCCACCAAGATAGGGTTAGACAGAGAAGAAAACTCATTCACCATCATTCATTCAACACCATCATTCACTCCACACATCCTACCTACATCACCCCGTCTTCCTCTGCTATTTACTCAGGTATTCCTCATTCTTTTATTCGAATTAATTTTTTTTTTTCCAACAAGTCTGCTGTCTCCCACCGAGGCAGGGTGACCCAAAAAGAAAGAAAATCCCCAAAAAGAAAATACTTTCATCATCATCATTCAGCACTTTCACCTCACTCATACATAATCACTTGTTTTTGCAGAGGCACCCAGATACAACAGTTTAGAAGCATATATAAAGATATATAACATAGCCCTCCAAACTGCCAATATCCCAAAACCCTCCTTTAACCCTCTGACTGTTGCAAGCCCCTTTCTGAAACTGTCATTCTATGTTGCAAATTTTTTGGAAAAAAAAAATTATTTTTTCTCATGAAATGATAGAGAATCTTTTCCCGATGGTAAAGACACCAAAAGTACGAAATTTGGTCAAAACTCACGGAATTACGCTCCAGCGAAGTTAGCAGTCTCGGCGACATATATGCATCGGCGATTTTGCCAAATTTGAGCCCTGTTTTTGGCCAATTCTGTTGTTCCAGTTGACCAAACTCATAGCTATTTCTTTAGAACTCCAATTTTTCTATCAATTGAGTACAAGAAACCACCCATTTACCGATTTGAACTATCCAATAAAGTGGTCAGAAATTGGCAATTTGGCCAATTTCATGCAAATTAAAAAAGATGCCAATTTCAAAATAGGGTCCAGAATAAACAATGTAGACATTCTTGCCATTAAAATAACATATCTTCTGTTCATTAGTCATATCTCTAGGCCCCTCTTATATTACTAATTCTTTCTATTTTGATTTTTTATTCATACAAAAAATACAAAATTTACTGTTATGCAGACTACTGCATTATTGTAAAAATGGTATAAATAATATCAGTGCACTAGTGAAAGAATATCAGACTCCCCAGCTGATGTGTATTGGACGTGTGGTTGATGTCCTTACTCCTGAACATTGGTAAAAATCAAACATTTCTGCTACTTCGAGCTCAATTTCAAGGTCGTTTTCATCGTGAAACTAATCAAAATCATCTCTATTTCTGCAATATGTTTTCCATTTTATCACGTGAGACCATGAAAACGAGAATACAACGATAAATACTATACGAAAATACACCTCAAAGTCAGCGTTTTAATCCAAAAAACAGTTTTTTTTTTTTCTCATTATGCACTGCGTGCTGCAGGATTTTTTTTTATGTGGTGCACACTGACCACACAGACCCATTCTCTCACATGTGGGCCTACCAGCTTTCTCCTGCTTGATTTGAAGCCGCTAGAATTATTAAGTACAGTGGTCCCTCAATTATCGTCCTTAATCCGTTCCTGGAAGTTGGACTATTATCGAAATAGACGATTTTCGAATCAATTTTCCCCATAAGAAATAATGTAAATACAATTAATCCGTTCCTGACACCCAGAAGTATTAAAACAAAAAATTTTTTTACATGAAATATAGATGTAGTACATAAACAATACAATGGGACATGATGAATGAAACATTAACAGCATAACACTTACCTTTATTGGTGATTCTTCTTAGTGTATTGAAGACTGGAGGAGGAAATCCCCACTAGCATTAGCACAGAACATTAGTGTCAGCCTGTTTTTCATAGGCTTGTGTCCTGGCAGTGCCTTTTCTTCCTGAGTAATGTAGGTCCTCTTTGGTATTTTCTTCCAAAAGAGGCCTGTTTCGTCACAATTGAACGCTTGTTCAGGTTTCAGTCCTTCAGCCTCTATGTACTCCTTGAATTCCTGCACATATTTTTCAGCAGCTTTTTGGTCCGAACTGGCAGCCTCACCATGCCTTATCACACTGTGTATGCCAGTATGCTTCTTAAATCTCTCAAACTAGCCTTTGCTGGCATTAAAATTCACTCACATCACCACTAGTTGCAGGCACTTTCTTTACCAAATCGTCATGCAACTGCCTAGCCTTTTCACAAATAAGCGACATCATAAGACTATCTCCTGCTAATTGTTTCTCGTTTATCCACACCAATAATAACTTCTCAACATCTTCGAGTACTGGTGACCTCATTTTTGTCAGCATATTTACCCCCTTTTGCAACAACAGCTTCCTTGATTTCTTTTTCTTTGGCTATGATGGAAGATATGGTTGTATGGGATTTGTTATACATCCTGGCCAGTTCGCCCACACGTACCCACTTTCATATTGTTAAATAAATATTTTTCTTAAATTCAATCGTTATTTCTCACCTTCTTTACCAAAGGCCTGGCACTAGGAGCTTTCTTTGGAGCCATGGTAGCTTATTTAGCGCTTGCAAGCACTAAAATGATGGAATACAGTGGACCCCCGCTTAACGATCACCTCCCAAAGCGACCAATTACGTAAGTGTATTTATGTAAGTGCGTTTGTACGTTTTATGTTTTTTGGGGGTCTGAAATGGATTAATCTACTTCACAATATTCCTTATGGGAACAAATTCGGTCAGTACTGGCACCTGAACATACTTCTGGAATGAAAAAAAAATAGTTAACCGGGGTCCACTGTACAGTGGACCCCCGGTTAAGTTGGCATCGCATTAGTGTTAAATCCGCACAGCGATACATTTTTTTCGATAAAATTTTGCCTCGCAAAGTGTTAAAAAATTCGCTCAACGCGATTCATCCGAGACAACTCTGTGCGGCCTGAGCCAGCCTCACTTGTTCTGCCAGTGGCATTGTTTACAAGCCAGCCTCCGCAGTAACATTCAAGCATACAAACGGAACATTTCGTAATTATTATAGCCTTTTTATAGTGATTTCACCTGAAAAATAAGTGACCAAAAGGCCCCAAGAAAGCTTCTAGTGCTAACCCTGCAGTAAAAGGGTGAGAATACTATCATACCACAGTCAGCTGCTGCTGCACCACGGTCAGCTGTTGCTGGCCCAGTCAGCTTTTTGCTGGATCATTCAGCTGCTGCTGCACCACAATCACTGTTGCTGGACCAGTCAGCTGTGCTGGATCAGTCAGCGCTGCTGCACCAAACGATCAGCTGTTGCTGGCCCAGTCAGCTGTTGCTGGATCAGTCAGCTGCTGCTGCACCACGGTCAGCTGTTGCTGGACCAGTCAGCTGTTGCTGCACCACAGCTGCTGCTCCCACCATGGTCAGCTGTTGCTGCACCACAGCTGCTGCTGCCCCATGGTCAGCTGTTGCTGCACTACAGCTGCTGCTGCATCATGGTCAGCTGTTGCTGCATCACAGCTGCTACTGCACCAGGGTCAGCTGTTGCTGCCCCACGGGTAAAGCTGTTGTTGTTGCTGCACCACCATCAGCTGTATTACTCGAAGATGTGGAGAGTGTGTTGTTGGTGTGGTTTAAAAGTGAAACAAATTACCGAGAAAACGTTTAACCCCGGAGGGTTAGCCACCCAGGTATAATCCAAGAAAGTCAGTGCATCATCGAGACTGAAACTTATTTCCATTGGGGTCCTTAATCTTGTCCCCCCGGAAAGCGACCCACAACAGTTGACTAACACCCAGGTGAACAGGAAAAAATGCCTGGAACTAGTGCTCATATTGGTGAGGTAATGGGGAGGGTGTGGAAGAGTTGGTGGAGGAGGACAATGAAGAACAAACCATTTTAAACATAAGAGGCCACCCCTGAGGAAACTGCCCCGGAGGAGGGGATAGAGAAATTGAAGAAGTTCCCCTACTTCAAAGATTAAGGAAATGTGTGCAATGGGGCTTAAAGTGCAAACCTTTTTTTGATGAAAATCACCCTCACACGCATTGAAAGCCGTGTGGTGACTATTACACTGACAATTTGGGAAAAACACTTTGGGAAAGTCATAAAAAGAGGGTACAGGCCTCTATGGACAGATATGTTTTTGCGACAGGGGTCCAGTGACTCTGAAGTGGCCTAGGGCTTTAAAAAAAAGAAGGGAAGAAACCCCCGGAAAAGGACTTGACACCTCAAGTCCAAAGGGAAAGGGGGTTTCCCCTTCAAAAACACTAAGACCACCCACAGTCTCCCCCCTCCCATCCTTAAAACTCCCCAATCTTCAATAAAGGTAAGTGTCATGTAACTGTAAAGTCTTTTTCATTTGTATTAAAATTAATATTTCATGGGTAAAAAAAAAAATTTTTCGTCTTTTGGTGTCTTCAGGGGTTTAAAATTTTGATTTCCATTATTTCTTAGGGGGGGAAAAATTAAATTTCCCATAATGATAATTTGCATAAAAATGAGCTCTCAGGAACGGATTAATGGGCCATGCGGGGTCCACTTTTTATGAAATATTTGCAGAACCTGGGGGGACCGTCGCTCACTGGAAAACAATGGCACCTGGGGGAAGGGGAGGCAGAGGCGGCTAAGCTGTGAGTACAGTCCAGGATGGGACGATTAGCGAGTTAACAGACCCTTTTGCGAGCCAAATTTTTTAGAAAAATAATCAACGTTTTCGAAAGGATGATTTTAGGCCGGACGATTATTGAGGGACCACTGTATTATTCGTCCAAACACTAGCTCGAAACGTATATATTGACCAAAACAGTAAAAGGGTTAAAGTGCAGGCATTTACCTTCCCATTTCCAGTATCAAGTCTAGCTATATAAAAAAAACCGGTTTCCCTAAATTTTTTTTTTTTTTTTTTTTTTTCAACAAGTTGGTCGTCCCCCACCGGGGCAGGGTGCCCAAAAAAAAAGAAAAAAAATCCCCAAAAAAAAAAACTTTCATCAACATTAAACACTTTCACCACACTCAAACATCACATGCTTTTGCGGGTGCCCAGAACACAACATTTGAAGCTATACGTATAGAGATACACAACATATCCCTCCAAACTGCCAATATCCCAAACCACTCTTTTAAAAAAAGGCGGGGCATTGTACTTCCCCATTTCCAGGACTAAGTCCGAA